AAGCTTGTGTGGAATTGTTGAACATTTATTTTTTCATTTAAATTTGCTGTTCTGGTAATACAAAGCCACACATCTGTACAGAAGTTGCAGTAAATGTGAGCCATTTACAGCAATGCCGAATAATGGACAGAAACCATATAATAAAATTCTGCTTTTTTCATTAAATGGCTCCAAAATGCTTTTGTGGAGTTTTTGCTGTGATCCTGGAGAGGGTTGGGTCCAACAGCGAGTCAGTTCATTTGTGGTGGTCTCATTATTCACCTTATATGCAGGAATTATTTGTACTGGAGTGAATTGCTGCTGTAGAAGTTCTGGAGCAGGAGAATTTCTGATCATGAAGTTCAAATTAACAATTTAATTGAAAATCACAGCTGCCTATGTTTTGCCTTTGCATTCTAATGTCCGTTTTCTGGAGGAAAATCAGCATTGTGGTTCTCTAATGTAATCCAGAGCAGGAACGTGCCTTGGAGCAGCCTGACCTGTGCCCACCTCAAAGAAGGGCTAAAGCTGCCGGGCCAGTTCAACTGAGGAAAACAGCACAAAATGTTTTGTAACTAAATAAAGAATTGATTTAGGTTCCCTGAACAGCTGCAGCTGCTCCATCCCTAGAAGTGTTCAAGGCCAGGTTGGACCGGGCTTGGAGCAACCTGGTCTAGAGCAAGGTGTCCCTGCCCATGCTGGGAGGGTGGAACAAGAGGAGTTTAAGGTTTCTTCCAACCCAAGTCACTCTGTAATTCTATGATTTAAAATGTATTTTGTCACTGCAGTGGTTCTCAACTATCTGATACGTGTCAGAATGTGATAAAAGCTCCTTCCCAAGGCAACTACCGGATGCCAAATGTTAGTGATAGAGAGAAACAAAATGTACTACAAAGTCATGGGCATTACCTAGGGGGGAGGATGTGGATTGGGGTGGGAGTCCTGGGCAGGGGATGGGCTAAGGGAATCCAGCTGAAGGGGTCCTGTGCAGCAGGATCATACCTTCCCAAAGGTAGGATTTAACCCAAATTGTGAAAAAAGGACTTCCTATATCAGCAACACTGAAAGGTGCCTCTGTCTGGCTGTGACAACATTGTTTCATAAAGAACAGAAAATGCTGTCATGAAGTTCCTTCCCTGCCATGTGGCCATTGGAGTTTTCGAATGTCAACGTCTCCAACCCATCAGTAACTAAAACCTCAGCACAGCTCATGCCTTCACCCCCTGAGCAGCAGAGTGAGTCGTGCTGTAATAAAATCTCATTTAACTGCAGCATAAAAGGCCGAGTTCCCAGCAGGGAATGATTTCTTTGAATTGTTTGCAATTAAAACAAAGCTTACATAAATTTCCCTTCGGTAATTCCCAAGCTGGATGGCTGTGGATGGGGGTCAGAGGCAATACAAGAACAGGATTTATGATAACCGCGTTTATTTGTGAAACAATTGTGGAAAGATTCTTTAAGGAGCGACATCAGATATTAGGATAATATAACTGCTCTGTGTCTCATGAGCTCCAGCTTCATGGCAAGTGCATCAAGTCCTCAATGTGTTCATGTTCCACATGAAATCCCACTTGTCCCATTCCATTTATAAAATCATTGACATCAGAAACATCTGTGGACCAGGTTCTGATTCCTTGCAGGATTTCTGCCCCTCCTGTGCTCTGTCCCACCACACTGGCTGTGGCTGGAGCATGGCCATGGGAGGGTGGATTGGGGGCCGTGGGGCTGCAGCCCTCCCTCACCTGCTGCCTTATTTTGCAATTAGTTGCTTTCTGGAGCTCTATCCTTAGCTTCCAAGAAATTCGGATGAAGCCCAGCATGAGATGGCAACTCATGATTTCTGTTGTGTTCACATTATCCCAATAAAACAATGGCATTTCAGACTGGTTTGGAAAAGACGCCATTAAATGCCATTTTTACAATTTTGACATTTAAGATTTGAGCTCTTGAGTTCGTGTTTGTCCCTGGGACAGTCCCCAATGGGCTGTTTTGTCCGTGGCTGTCTCCCCACTGCAGTGGGAGCTCACAGAGCTGTGCCACATAATGTACAAACACTGGGATTCTACAGAATAAAAGACTCCTTGGCTGTAAGTTATGGTTATCCCAGACATTGCCAGTGTTCTTATCAAGATACCATCAGGAACTACTCTGGGAGGGAACCCAGAACTCTGCAAGCTCAGGTCCTCCAGTGCTGCCTTAGGGATCCAAACCATTTCAAGTCCCTAAATCCAAGATGTATTCATTCCTTCAGACCCAGCTGACACTCATTCCAGGGTGTCTCTGCTGGTACCTGTACCCATCTTGGCACCAGCTGGATGCTGAACTGCACAAAGGCACTGGCCAGATCCGTTTCATGGAACCACAGACTCATTTGGGTTGGAAGGGACCTTAAAGCTCATCTCATTCCACCCCCATGCCATGGGCAGGGACACCTTCCACTAGACCAGGTTACTCCAAGCCCTGTCCAACCTACCTTGAACACTTCAGGGATGAGTCAGCCACAGCTTCTCTGGGCAGTGGGGTCACATGTCAACAAGTTTGGTTCATTTCCTTGTCAGGGTTACAGATAATTTTGATATTGGCAGACCTGAAAATAATATGTCTACTGCATGTCCATTTTAAAATAAAAACGTGTAAATATTGAACTTGTCAAAGTGAGACTGGAGGAGCCACAGGGAGAGGAACCCTCTGAAGGGATAAGAAGTTCATTGATGTCCAACGCCCGAGTCCGTGGAAAAGCAGATAAAAATCAACCTGGAGGAGGGGTAAATATCCTTATCCAATCCATCACAGGCCTGGCACAGCTCCAAAGCTTAATTAAGGATATTCTCCGAGGTCACAACAGGGAACTTCTGAGTTTAAAAAATAACAAGTGGAGTCCTTCTAATTATGGGATCTGCTGATTCGAGATCAAACCACATGAAAAGGTAGGGGGAAAACAGCTGAGGCAGCATCTCATGTGGGCACTATTTGCATGGCTGATGCAGGAGGACAGGGTGAGACTGGGAAAAGTGACCTGGTGAGCCCAGTGATGGGCATTGGGAACAGGGGATGTGTTCCCAAGGAGCAGAGCATAGGGGACTGTGTTCCCGAGGGGCTGGACAGGGGAGGCTGTGGCCCAGAGGAGCTGAGCATGGGAGAAACGTGTCCCCAAGGAGCTGAGCACAAGGGGGATGCATCTCTGAGGGACTGGACATGGGAGAAATGTGTCCCTGAGGAGCTGAGCACAGGGAACTGCTGCAGAGCAGGGGTACAGGCAGTGACACAGGTCATGGGGAGGGGGCTGAGCCTGCTGTCCCCATCCCCCCAGAGTGACTGCCTTGGCCCCAGCGTACCCATGTTCTTGCTCCTGCAAGAACCCATCCAAAATTAAACCCCAGCATTTTTAATTCCTCATTTCTCTCACACCCTTTTCTTTTTTTCCCTTTTTGGCTCGCAGGCAGAACTTCCACAGCCGAGCTGCAGCCAAGCTGCACGTGTTCCTACCCCAAACAAACACAGGACTGGCCTACAAGGCTCAGACCAGAGCAATTACTAAAAATAATTAAAAAAAATCCAACCAGCCCAACCCAACCCTTGGCAAGCCAAAGAAAACCCGAGGGACGAGGCTCTCACTCACACCCTCCCCTTGTGCAGAGATGCTTCTCCCCCCGTGTGGGTCAGTCCCTTGCCCACCCACACCCACTGCCCAGGGGCAAACCCAGCCCCTCTCCGGGGCAAGGGGAGGTCGGGGGTTCCCCCTTGGCGTCCCGGGGGGCTCATGGTGCTGGTGCCCCTCGGCTATCCCTTCCATGGGCAGCGCTCCCTCCCATCACACTGCTGGGATTTGCTGAGCATAATGGGGCTGAAACAGCTCAAAGCTGTTGGGCTAAATATATCGTCGTTGCTGGGGAAATAAATAATAAACAGCGGCTCGATTAGGATCTGGTGGTGTAATTGGTTCTGCTCCGGGTGGCTGGAGGGCAGCCCCGGCGCTCGGAGCAGCAGCACTTCAGGTACCAAC